AAATCTCAATAATGTAAACAGTATATGAGAAGGTCACAATTTCTTTTAGCAATGCTTTTAAAACCCCGTCTACCTATCTTGGTTGTATGTATACAATATTAATGCATTTATTAGGTTTTAGTTATTTTTATTAATAAAAGGGCTTAATGAATAGTTCATAAAATATTGCAGGCAATTGTTCGATGGAAGGCAAATATAACTTAATATTATGGTAAATAATACTAGGGATGTGTGAACCTTAATAGACAACTTGACTCCAAAGAATTGGAACTAATTCATCTCATAAACAAAATATTTGAATGCAAGGTATCAAACTGTGCTTTTTGGAATCATTTAAAGTCAATTCAGAGACTTACATAGACTTCCTAGATTTTGCAGAGCCTTCAAATATGTAATCTCAGATATAACACAGTTCATTTTAGAAACACAGAGAGGCAGACTTATTTATGTGTAACATTAGCAGAATTGCAAAAAGAATTCTCATCTAGATGCTAACATATGTTCCATTTTCTGATAATACCTAGGGGTTTGACTTCCATTTGAAGTTCAAAAATCCTCTGACCCCTTTCTCACTCAAAACTGATGCTGGGGTTTTGATCCTCAATGTTCAATGGAATACAACATCATAAAAATAGAAGCCTCTACTCAGTCCCTTAGGATCCTCAATCCTCAAGATGTGTTTTAAAGTAGGTTTTCAGAACCTGTTGCATACATAGTTGGAATTATTTCTCCCATTTTAAGCTGTGATAGAAGTTCTGTTAGCAGAAGAGAAGAATTGGCTTCAAACTATGTATTATTCCGCATATATTGCATCAGTGAGAATGATAGCATTTTAGTTTACACTGTGCAAAAAATAGAGATTCATATACATTCTGTATACAAGTAAGACAACAAAGATGAAATCTATATTTTACATGCTCAGTTGCTAATTCATCCTTGTGGAATATCTACCCATAGAATGAACACTAGCTTCATTCCTCCTAATATTCCAGAAGTTAATGAAGATGAGATCCTTGCATTGTTTGGACTTTGATCAGTTCATGTTTGCTTTAATATAATTGTATTTATTCTAGATTTTTAAAACTAATTTATACTTATAGTCCTTGTTCTTTGTTACCTAAAATAATGTAAGTCTTGATCTGGCAGGAGAGAAATAGAGTAATAAATGAATGTGGTACTCAATAGAGAAACTCGAATAGCTACGTTAGCCACCTAGAAAATGCCTATAAAGCAGAAGAAAATACCATAAGCAAACATATTTTTACAGCAAATGACACTAAGAGGTATAATGCTTCTGCTACTGGAGATAATATATATATTCTATCCTTTGATAGTAGCTAGCAATACCTTTGTTCTTAATAAATTTATCTCATTTACTTCTAGTAAAAATGTAGTGGCTATAACTATTTATACAACTGATGATCTAGTTCAGCTTTGGTCCTGCTTCAACCAATGCTTTACTCCATCCATTGCTTTTATTTTCAAGAAATCTCAATCATTTGTCATAGTATTTTGTATTGTATCCCAGCATTCTTCATTATCCTCATTATTTTGGTTAGGGGAAGACTAAAATGTGGTGTTGGAGATAACATTGATGTTGTATGAAATGGAGACAGAAGTATCACTACTATTAGTTCACAAATTAGATGTAGGAGATGACCAGAAAAAGCCGGAGGGAAGGGTCAAACACATCATTAGACATGAGTTCCTTTGCACCCACAAGAGATCTAAGTCCTGCCCACCTTGAATTCCTTTGACTCTTACCTACTGCCAGTTTGCTTTGGCCATTAGTAGTTCAAATTCTTGTAGAGAGCTTAAGCTTGTAATAAATCTTTGTGCTCATTTGAACTGCTTGGATTTTCTGATTTCCCTGGGACTTGACAGTAGCATTTGTTTTGTGCAAATACAGTTTGTGGGAATATGAAACAATAGGGATGTAAGTATACAATATATAGGAATATATTCCAAGAATAGAAAGTAAAATAGATGACCTTTATGGGAATATGCATGAACCACTATTAGGCAAAAAGTCCAGGAAACAATATAACATTGGATATTGCTGCAGCAAATGCCTGCTTGATTCACTGGAATTAAGGAGGAGGAATAATACAATCAGCCTTGCACAATTTTGTTATTACAGCCAAACTCAACAGAACTTTTTTTAGCCCTCCTGTGGAGATGATTTCCTCATTTTCCTCTAGCTAGTGGAGCTGACACCAAGCAAAAATTCATCATTTTTAGTGGATTTTACATCCAAATTTTTGAACTTTGGTGCTGGAGAAGACTCTTGAGAATACCACGGGCAACCAAGAAAGCAAATAAATGGATCATTGAACAAATAAACCCAGAGTTCTCAGTCAAGGCACAATTTATTCTACTTTAGACACATTATGCAAAGACGTAGCTCTCCAAAGAAGGCTGTAATGCTGGGAAAGATAGAAGGAAAGAGAAGGATAACCCGCAGCAAGACGGATGGACTCAGTTATAGTGGTGATGGGGCTTCACTACTGGAAGAGCTGAAGGACTAGGTTAAGAACAGATCATCATGGAGAAAAATCTATCTATATGATTGCTAAGAGTCAACAACCTCCTGATATCATAGAATCAATTAATCAACATCAAGAGTCAGAAGATCTGAAACTGAACAATGCACACACCCAATATTCCATCCAAAATTCTAAGAATTTCATTCCTACCAATAAAGAATATTTATAGCTCAGGGCAAACCCCATTCCTTACTAGCACTGATGGTATTATCTAGTTTGGGAAATGAAACATCTACAAGAAAACAACCAAGCTCAGAGAGCACTCATTTTCATTCCTGCTAAATAGGTTTCTTGTTTTAATGGCATTAGGAAAAACAGCCTCCTTCTCCAATCCATTTTTTGAACCTTTTTTCCCCTGCAGCTGCATTAATTTAAATGATTTTCATTAAGAAAGAGAAATACAATAGCCAACATTTCATCAAGTAGTAACTGCAATATAAATCTCACATATTGGTATAGTCTCCTCCTTTCAGAATTTGTATTATGGGGTTTTTCAAAGATGCTATTAGTTAAAAATATAACGTGCAGCATTTTTCCATTTGAGCATCTTTTGAAACTGGTTTATTTAAATAAAAAGAGTGCCAATGTCAACACTGCAATATAAATACAAAATTGAGCATCACAGGCCATTTGCACCCAGTTTTCCATCTTTCCAAGAAATCATCTAAACTTGGTGTCCTTTGCATAAACATCTGATACATGGCTTGCTGACAATATTACACAAAGAATGCAAGCTCAGTTGTATGATGATGATATCAAGTTACATACAACTGACCTACTCCCACAAACACTGATAATCCTACAGTTCTGATGATCCTTATCATTATGACCATTCTCACCAATTTGGTCCTAAGAATGGCCAAATTACTTGAGGAAGTTTAACATATCCCAACTTAAAAAACAAACAAACCACTCACTAGACTTTTATCTAATACCTTCATAGTGGCATATTCTATCCAAATTTGATTAACTGATGTCAAAAAGTCAGGTTCCATTCTTTTATGCTGACATCGGCTTCTGTAAGTCTAGCTTGGGTGATGTACTGACGATCTGTGACAGTTTAAAATAAGCTTGGAGATACCATATCTCAAAGTCATTTTTCTCTCAGCACTATTCCATAGGCATTTATTTTCCTCTTTGGGTGGGTGGGGGAAACCAAGATAATTTACCAAAATAAGCCATCAATGTCCAAACCACTAAATCTAGAAAGCTTTAATCTCAATTTAGTTTGTTTATGTTTAATTTAAAATGCATAAAGTCAGGCAAAAAGCTTTAGAATATATAGCTCCTAAACCTCATTTTTATATTGCCTTAGAAAACAGTATCTAATTGGCACTGCTAACTGTGCCTTATAAAGTTTAGATGTTTTCATAACCAGTATTTTTTCCAAGATATTTTATCTTTAGCCTGCATTTGGAATTGCTTTTATCACACAATTAGCTGATTGGTCACATTCTTTCTAACACATACTCTCTCTCTCTCTCTCTCTCTCTCTCTCTCTCTCTCTCTCTCTCTCTCTCTCTCTCTCTCTCTCTCTCTCTCTCTCTCTCTCTCACACACACACACACACACACACACATGAGAAACAATGTTTAGCTCTTTAAAAAGACACATGTCAAAATATCATGGATCATGCCCTTAAGCATAAATAGGCAATATGTTACTTTCAGTGCCATCTGACATATTTATCTGAAATGAGAATTATCTAAATAATCTTCTTCTAAACTAAATTGAGTAGAGGACTAAGATCTCACAATTTTTCAGCAGAATCTATTGGAAAAATCTACTATGAAAAGCTATCCTGGAATTGCCATAGAATTAGACATTCTAATCTAATAGACTATCTTGAATGAAAGCAAGCAAAAGAAACTGGTGACTTCCAATGCACCACAACTGATTCTTTATTGCTATATAAAGATGAACTTGTCGTACAGCTAGAGTTTAAGTGCAAATTTTAAGAAGGAAAGAAAAAGTGAACTGGAGATTGTTGATCCATATTCTATATGGAGCAAGATGCAAATATCTGTTGTTGTATTTAGAAAAATCCTTTCCTTCAGGAAGCTGATCCAAGATATTTTCGCTTACCTGCTAGAAAAGATTCCATCATCCAGTCAGCATCATTTCTGAGATTTTGTATTTGTCATTCTATATCTTTTTCTTACTCTTTTTAATTAACCTGCATTGTTCATATACTTCAAATAGCATAATTATTAATAACTGAGTGTTGAGGCCATCTTGCCCTTCATGCTAATTTCACTTGAAGGAAAGGAATCAGTGAAATAAATTCTTAGCAACATGCCAGGGAATCACTTAGCAACATGCCAGGGAATCACATCTCGGATTTCTGAAATTTCCTAGGTCTGTTTTCTGAAGCCCCAAGTCAGGGTCAGTTTTTAAATAACTGTACTTGATAATATCTCCCCTCTCTTAACCTCTTCTCTTTTTCTTTCTTAGGCTGTATCTCAAGGGTCATTCTGGAACAGCAGGGAAACAAAGCAGTCTGATATTACACGGTGCTGACTTTAGTACCAAAGATGCTGACAATGACAATTGTATGTGCAAATGTGCTCTTATGCTAACAGGAGGTAAGCATCCAGTTACAGAATCATACATAATGTTTTGGTGAAATGACAGGGAGGAACAGAACATGATTACACTATTTCTGAATGATTGTAGATCTTATTTTTCAAGGGATTTCAGTAAGGTTTTAACATGGAAAATCCCAAGCTTTCTCTGTTACTAAATTTTGTACCCTTGGCTTTCTTTACTCCATGAGTAAAAATACACACTTAAGGGATCAAATGAAATAATCAGCCTAATAAACTTGTCTCTTTGGGCTTTTTCAGACTAGAAAATCTGATCACCCAGGGAAAGTCAGAATGATGAAAATATATGCAACAGATAATATATATAAATAAAATATATGCAACAGATAAGGATTTTAGGTAGGGATGATTTTAAAAGTAATTTTAATCGGAAACACAGCTGGCAATATTTGGTTTTTAATTCGGCTTTTATTGGGGTTTTTATTTTTGTATTTCTGTATTTTGTATTTTGTGTATATTATTTGTTTTTTAATATGCTGTGAACCGCCCTGAGTCCTATGGGAGAAGGGCGGTATACAAATTAAAATTAACATTAACATAACATTAACATAACACCAAAATCAGTAGCTGTATAGTTCACACCTCCCAGTGAAAAAGCTGAAAAACATACTGAGGCAGTAAAAAAGAATTTCTCAGTTATACTGAGAATAAGATTTTTTAAAAAATCCAAATCTTCTTATTTTCAAGGCAAGATAGCTGTTGATAAATTGCAAAGCAAATTTTGGAATAGCGTTAATTTATCTTTTGGATCCTAAATGTGCAAATGTTCCTGACTGAGTATTAATTGAGTTTGATTGGATTGTAAAAACTAAGTTAGAATAGTATGTATGTTTATATTTTTACCATATGCATTTTCCTATGAGATAGAAATTTAAACACTTCTCAATGATCAGACTTAGAAAGATGTATTGAAATAGCTTGGTCCCAAAACCAGTTGTGAATATAACTTAATAAAACAATTCATCTTAGAAATAATTGTATTCTGGACAGTAAAGTTCCTTATCAGACTTTCTGTTGGTCTTGGCAATCCATGTAGACAGCTCATTCATTATAAATTATATTAAAAATATACATGCGTTCTGTAGCTATCTTTGATAGACTGGATGGAATTCTGTAGTTTCTCTGAGAAATGCAGAATATATATGGCAAATAACAGCATATATGAATGGAGCTGCTGACTAAAATAATCAGGGTTAACAACATTACATATACACATTGCATTTCTTGTTTAATTTGACATAAAGCAGTTTCTTGTAGGGAAATTAAATCTCCTTTTGACTAAATTCTGCCTTGCAATTAGGGATAGAACTTCAAAGTGTTGTGTATTTCTCTCTCTCTCTCTCTCTCTCTCTCTCTCTCTCTCTCTCTCATTCACACACACACACACACACACACACACACACAGAGAGAGAGAGAGAGAGAGAGAGAGAGAAGGGAGCATAACAACATGAATCCTGTAGATATTTCTTTTTCAGAGGTAAGTTAGGGATCTTTAATAGGAAATGTTTCGCATTTATATAGAAAAATATTCCCAGAATCCTTTGTGGATTACTTACTTACATTTGAATAGAACCAATGAACATTAACAAGTTATTGATGGGAAAAGATTCATATACATAAAAAGACATCCTATTACTTATTCCCTTGAGTATATAAGTCACTCGTGTGTGAACTGGATCTCTCACATCAGAAATAATAAATGGCCTCAAAGATCTGACAAAAGGAAACCTACTTAATCAAAGTAGTCAGTCATGAGCTCTAAAATCTACAGTCTAGTATATTGTTCCTACAGGCATAATTTAGGTAGACTGTCATCCCATCCTGTGTTGGACTTTCTAGAGTTTAATTTGACTGCTTAAGAAAAATCTCACAAAATCTTTCATGGTATGATTGATTTTGTAAAGTAGATTAGTAATAGATACTACCTACTAATCCATACTTTTGGCAGTGTAAATGGATCCAAGAGCTTCTTATGTAGACTTAACTCTGAAAAAGAAACAAACAAACAAGAAAGAGGATTAGTTTTTTTCTTTCTTGTTCAGCTTTGTCTTAAATTTCTACAAGATTACATTCTTGTTACAGTTAACCACCAGTTGATCTGCTTTCTTTTTTGTTGGTTATTAGCCCCTAAGGTACAATTTTGTTACCAAATATGGATCAACTGCATCAAAATAGCAGAATCCCAGAATATATCTGGCACTAATTCTTCCCCAAAGATTTTGTTATGAAGTGTTACTTTAGGGGTGAAGATGGTCAAAGTTTTGTAAATATGTAAAATATGCAAAAGAGGGCTAAAATAATAATCCAGTGGATTCAAACAGAAGAGTATAACCCTTAAAGTTACGGATTAATTGTTGTTACTAATATTCCCAGTGTTTAAAAACAATGACTCTTTTCCTCCTGATACTGAAGTAGCCATAGCAGAAATAAATTCAAGGCTTCTTCAATGAATTCGTCCATCATCTCCAAAGACTAGATAGGAAATCCAGAATTTAAAGTTTATATTTTAATTAGAAAAATAACAGTATCTAAGCATTTTAGTTTGGGAAAAATGTTATTTGATGGAGTCAAAAAAAATCTGACAGCATTCTGCTAATGATGTGCAATGAACTTGTTTGTTTTTTTACCTCCTCTGCAGACCACTCTAATTATATCCTGTGTTTGCACAGTAACCTGGCTTTAAAACTTAACAAAATTGGCAGCTAACATCCTTCTCCTTTAGGGGGTCAGAAAATAAATTTTTTCAGCTTTAATGTCACCAATATGAACCTTAACATTTGGTCTCATAAATAGGATTTTTGAAAGGGTAGCAATAGCAATAGCATTAGACTTATATATATATATCGCTTTACAGTGCTTTATAGCCCTCTCTAAGTGGTTTATAGAGTCAGCATATTGCCTCCAACAATCTGGATCCTCATTTTACTGACCTCGGAAAGACAAAAGGCTGAGTCAACCTTGAGTCAGTCAGGACTGAATTCCTGGCAGTGAGACAAATTAGCCTGTAATACTGCATTCTAACCACTACACCACCACAACTCAAATGATTAAAATCATGATGTCACAGGTTACTTTTCACCCACATATTACTTTCTTGTGAAAGTGAGGGATCTGAAAAAAATCCACCAAGGATTTCTGTGTCATTAGGTCCATTGAACCAGATTTTGAAACATTTGAATTGAGAAGACTAAAAGAAGTCCATAAACCATGCTCTTTCTCTATTTAAAAAAAATCTTGAGAAAATGTCATTTTCTTATGTGGATGTTTCTGAGAAAGAACGTAAGTTTCTAAAAGCTGCATAAGAAAAAAAGCATAAATGTGTAAAAGAGATAGATTTCATTGGGTAAATTGATATTTTGAAACATCTGACTGAGCAATATTTTTTTAAAAAAATGTTATCAGGAAGAAGCACGCTGGCTTTAAAGGTTTCTAATGGAAATTATATTCAGAACTGTACATTAGAGAGAGTTGAATGGAAAAGTTTTGATATTAAGGAAAGCTGTGAATGAAAATGATGGATATCAGTTATTTTTAATACCATTCCCACAAACTCCCACCACCTACACATACATACACTAGAACATGGGTCTAGAAACACAGACAGTAAATAGATCAGATTTCTGCATTCACAATTGAAGCAAATAGGAAATAGGAGATCTATTGTTTTTTGGGTAGATGGGGTTAAAAACAGGTGTCAAATAACTGTGGAGGAATGGAAAGTTGATTGTCTTTATAGACTATTCCTTAAACCTAAAATGCAAAGCTGATTTTATCTATAGAGAAAGGAAGAAAACCTGTTCAGTGTTATATTTATAATTTTATGCCATCCCATGTGTATTAGCTAATAACACTTCTATAAAGGGCGGCATAAAAAATTAATGAGGAGAAAAGTAGTATCTTACTGCATTTTCAATTCAACTTATTAATTAGCTTAGATAGTTGGGGCACTTAATTATGGCTAAACTCAAAAAGCTTAGCAGAGTTGGATCTGTTTAGTTCCACATTATTTCAAGACAAACTACAAGGTCACACAGCTCAAAGGAGACTTTACTTCAAAAAAAAATTAGATAAGTACTCTGAATCAAGAAAATGATGTTGAAAACTACATGCATAAATTTATTATCTCATGGTTAGTGTGGTTATTAAACTTATCATGGCAACACCACCAAAACTGAAATTCAAAATTAATCTGGAAATCTTCAAAAGGAAATAGTAATAATTATCATCAGAATTTCATACATCTCTAATTTATTCAGAAGAAAGATTGGAGAAAATGGGAATAATGATGTGGTGCACAAAAAGAGTACACTTTGGGGCTTTAGTTCAATAATTATTTTAATTTCTATTGCACATTCTTAATGACTATTGCAATGCCCTACCTCAAAGTGAGAGGTAGAGGGAAGAGGGAAGAAGAAAAAAGGAAGACTGAATGAACAGAAAGAGAGATTGGGGAGAGAAGAGTAAGACTGAATTGCATGCCTTAAATTCAAAGAGGTTATCAATGGACATGAGCAGTAAATAATGAAAGCCTTTTGCAGGTAGTCTTCAACCCAGAACCATTGGTTTAGCAACAATTCAAAGTTACAATGGCATTGAAAAAATGATAACCGTCACAGCATCCCCAGAGTCACGTTATCAAAATCTGAGTGCTTGGCAACTAGCATGTATTTACAATGATTGCAGTGTGCCGGGGTCATGTGATTGCCATTGGCAACTATCCCAGTTAGCTTTTGACAAGCAAAGTCAATAAAGGGAAGCTGGATTCACTTAACAACTGCAGTGATTTGCTTCACAATAATGGCAAAAAGGTCATAAAATCGGGTATGACTCAATTAACTAACTTGCTTAGCAACAGAAATGCTTAGCAACAGAAACAGCAACCCAATTGGTTTGTAAGTCGAGGACTATCTGTATAATTGGGGGATTTAAATACTAGAATGCTGAAAATGGAAAGAAAAAGGAGGGTCATTCCGTTATTAATTTGTGAGTTCAAAACGGCTCGACTTAATTTTTTTATTTCCTATAATTACATCAATTCAAATAGAATCTGATAGAATCAGATAGTTTTATGTAAAAACCATAGGGCTTCTCCCAATCTCCCAGCATTAGAAGTGAAATAGTAGAGCTTGCAGAGCTAGAAACATGAAAAATAAAAACCAATACTTACTTATGATTTTACCAAGCATGCATATTCCCACAAGGTTCCGCCTTGCCCATTTGATAATCTAACTAAGCTCTGCTAGTAAAATGATACACTGATTCCCTACAATCTAATTATTTTAGTTTCGATTGTTTGAATTCATTTCTCTTCAGTGCCATCCACAATGGAGGAGAATCTGGAAATGTTTGTTTCTCAGTGATTTATTTGGCCATGTTTACCTCTTAAAAGTTTGGCTCCAAATATTTAAACAACAACCCAAAAAAACCTGCCGAGGACAGAATTTGAGCTCAGATGACTGCATATTTTCAAGAAATAAATGGTGTGCCTTTCCAATCCCTTCCATCCTGAAGAGCAATCTTTGGGAAATGGGGACACTTTTTAAGGCAATAATCCAGGCAATTTGTCAGTACAGACCAGCTTTTTGCCTCTTGGTTTCCCTTTACCATAATTGGATGAAGGTGAAATTTCTCTTCTCTTCATCTTAATGCAGTGTCCTATATACATCATGACTTGTGGTATGATGTGGATTTCATCATTTTGACAAAAGCACCAGAATAACAGAGTTGGAAGGGACCTTGGAGGTCTGTGGTCCAACTCTCTGCTCAAGCAGGAAACCCTGTATGATTTCAGACAAATTGTTGTTCAATCTCTTCTTAAAAGCCTCCAGTGTTGCAGCACCCACAGCTTCTGGAGGCAACTCATTCCACTGATTAATTGTTCTAACTGTCAGAAAATTTCCAGGTTGGTTCTCTCCTTGATTGATTTCCCTCCATTGCTTCTTGTCCTGCCATCAGGTGCTTTGGAGAATAGGTTGTGCGCCTCCTCTTTGTGGCAGCCCTTAGATATTGGAACACTGCTATCATGTCACCACTAGTCTTTTCATTAAAGTAAACATATCCAATTCCTGCAACCATTCTTCATATGTCTTAGCGTTCAATCCCCTAATCATTTTGTTGTTCTTCTCTGCACTCTTTCTAGAGTGTCAGCATATTTTATATTATGGTGGCCAAAACTGGATGCAGTGTTCCAAGTGTGTGGTCTTATCAAGGCATTATAAAGTAGTATTAACACTTCATGTGATCTTGAATCTATCCCTCTCGTAATGCAGCCTAGGACCGTGTTGGCTTTTTTGGCAGCTGTAGCACACTGCTGGCTCATATTTAAGTGATTGTCCACTAGGAGTCCAGATCCTTAAATGTCTAAAATCAGTTATCTGGAATTATTTCCACCAGAAATGCCAAGGACTGAAATTGGATATTTTTTGCATGTACTCTTAAAAAATTCACTGTTGATTGAAAAATCCTGGAAATCAGCTTAACAGATGTTGCTCATAATTTTAATAGTTAACACAAACAATAAAAAGGTTCAATGAAATTATCCAATGGGCTATAGCTTGTTCTAGTACCAACATCTCATAAAAAACTGTCCATGCAAAAATGCCTATGAGCGAGAACTGGTAAAGGAGGGATATCAACCATTTTGTTTTGGGTCTGCAGGAAAGAAAATAAACAGAAATAATATTTGTTGTTCTGTAAAGCAAAGAGTAAGAGTAAGATAACAAGAATTTATGCTAGAATATAACCTTAACATGTCCAAAATCTTATTTTTAAACACTTACTTGGGAACTGCAATTATGTTTATTCATTGCATAAGCTCGCATGGTGATAATGTTGAAACCATTCAAGGCTTTGCTATACTGTATATAAAGACAAAATTAGCTCTCAATTAGTTGAGTATGAAGAGTGGTGTAGGATAAAAGCATAGCATCATGCTATCTGAAAATCATATTTCTATATTAATTAAGAAAAGTGGAATTAAGCTTGAATAAAACTAGGAGATAACATTTGTAAGGCCAGATTAAAATTAATCAGGAGCCAATTTGAGACTAAATGCATTTCCTATATTTCCACAGGTAAAGCTAGATGTAAAGCTGGGTTAGGGTTAGAGATTAGGGTCCACTTTAATAGTGAGTAGTCCACTTTCTTAACATTTTAATTATTCATAATATTATTTTAGCATTTATAATATTACATACAAGCATAGATTGTGATTTTCTTATTTGCTATTATAAAGTATGATAAAAAGCAAATGTAAAGATCCACAGCTATAGTTTATGGCAATAAATTTGCATGCAACTTTTATGCTGAAGTTTAAAATGGCCACAAATGCTATAAAAAAAAATAGATGTTCAAAAAAAAGGAAGCACTGAAAGTACTCTTCTGATAATATATAGATTCTGCTGGGATTAAATTTGTTTTGTTTTGTTCTTCCAATAGATGCTTAGTCAGGTAAAAGCCAGGAAGAATTCAATATGTCTAATATTGATCTTTTGTTGATACAAATCCACAAAGATCATTAGAACAGGAAGGATTATATTTACCTGAATTAATTGAATAGGGTAGCCAGAGGATATTTTATGGACTTTTCAGAAAGCAAAAGAAAAAAAACCACTGCTTTAAACATACATAGAATTCTTAAATTGTACTGCTCTAAGCATTTGTACTATTCTAAACATTCACAGAATTCTTAAATTAAGAGTAGGAGAATGAACCTCAAGTTACCTAGTTTGTCTTTCATTCAAACATAGTGCCCTCACAACCAGCTTAATTGGGTCAATTGTATGTTTAGTGTGAGAACTTCAAAATAGCATCACCTAGATCAGTGGTTCTCAACCTATGGGTCGCGACCCCATTTGGGGTTGATCGACCATTTCACGGAGGTCGCCAAGCAAGGCTGTCCGCCATTTTTTTCCCCTTTTCCGGCGGCTGCCTTACCTCCCTTGAGCTGGGCCAGCTGGTGGTCGGCCTGCTCCATCTCTGCCGCTTGCCAGCTACGCCTCGGCCGGCGCAGGGGGCGGAACCACGCATGCGCGGCGCTCCCGGGCAGGGAAAGTCCTCGACTTACAACCGGTTGGGTAGTCCTTGACTTACGACCGGTTTAGTCCTTGACTTACGACCGGTTTAGTCCTTGACTTACGACCGGTTGGGGGTCGCGGCATTAAAAAGGTTGAGAACCACTGACCTAGTAGATTGAAATTCCAACTTGAATTTAACTCAGAACAGTTCCTGTTAGATCTGGTGTTAAATTCACTATATCTAGTTGATAAAGTCTTAAATGTTTTTTTCAGACAACTATGGTAGAGATAACCTGGAGAAACCATGAAAATTGAAGAACTCTTTTAGGATTCTTTTTCTATGTTTGTTTTAGATGCCAAACTCACTTTTATACAGGAGCATCTGAAAAAGAGACACAACATATAATTTATCTATGATAATGCTGGCCTTGGCTGTTGTTTTTATTTATATTATTATTTATTTAATTTTACCACCACCACCAATGGGGAAAGGATTTTTTTAACAAAAACTGAAAGAATCACCTTTGCGATGGCTAGTAGTTCTAAAAATAATTGATTCTCTAACATTATGACCTCTTGGTTTAGAAATATGTAGCTAACCAACGGTGGGAGAATAATTCTGGAAAAGGGACTAACAAATAATACCAAATGGTCAGTTAATTTTTTGTGGATATTTAGCTTTAATAATTAGTGGAGAAATTCACCAGCTGGAAATCCAGGTTGAAAATTAGACAGCAAAAATTACTAGATATACATAAAGCCAGCCACCTGTAACCTGGTATGGGATCTTATTTAAAGGCTAAAGAGAAGGAGTCAAAATATAGAAGAGCCAATAGGCAGCAAATAGAATTTGTATTTATTGAAATATTTGTCCTAGTTTTCCCCCCAAGAATAGAATCCATATGCTATATTGTAAAATATATTATAAAATTCCTTTGCTTATAGAGCAGCTCATATTTAGCTCTAAAAATGGTTTTGTGATTTTCTTTTCTTTTCTTTTGCTTTGGGAAGGTTGTCTACTTATAAATATCAGCCTCAGTCCTCCAAGCATACAAAAAGAATGGTGTGGTTCTTTTAATCAAGCCTCAAATTATTTTTGCATGTTTGCTTAAAAAATCTAGAACCCTTACATCATCGCTAGCTTCACTGCTGAGTTACCATACATTTGCTCATCAGCTTCATATTGCAAACCAAAAATATAATGGTTCATTAGTTAATGAATCTGTTTATTTCCTAATGCTTTTAGGTTGGTGGTTTGATGCCTGTGGCCCTTCCAATCTCAACGGGATGTTTTACTCAGCTGGACAACACCATGGAAAAATAAATGGGATCAAATGGCATTACTTCAAAGGTCCAAGTTATTCATTACGGTCCACAACTATGATGATCCGTCCCTTGGACTTTTAAAGAGCCAAGAAGATAGTGGCCTTCTGAAGGACACCATATGTAATCTTTACAAGCAAAAGGTGGAAACTCCCTGAAAATATTGGATTCCAACATCCAAGTTGTCTTTGGATCTTATTTCGCTGGCTGCAGTAATCAAACACAAGTCGCTGTCCAATCCTGGGACAGGTGAAACTGTGGATTATGAATAATATAAAATAGCTTTTTTGGCTATTCAGTGGACAACCTTAAGGTTCAGTTGCCACAAATAAACTGGTATCTTTTAACCAAAGCCTTTTTTGCTGTTTTTTTTTCTTTTTTTTTCTTTGATCAAGAGAAATTTTAAAAATATAAGACATGCAAACCAAGTGGCCTTTTGAAAAAACAGAAATAAAGTCTAATGGATGGCAGAAGATGTTTGTCTATCAGGAAAATGGTATCAGATCAATGTAGAAGCACAACTGCTATTTATTTGTAGCCCCTTAAAATACAACGATGGCCTCTTAACCTGGCATCAGAAAATGTGATTGAGATGGAAAACTTCTCTTTAATACCAGAACAATATGGCATATAGGAGTTATTTCTCATTAAACCCATTTCAAACATGGAATATCCTTCAAAGAGACAATGAATCAAGTTGGACAGAAAAATAAGAGCAATATGCAAGAATGGTTAGTTGACCTGTATGGGTAGGCTAAAATTTGGCAATCTAGATAATTGGATTCTTCCAAATATTTCAACTATGGTTGATAGCATGATAACAAAAGGAATTATGGATTTTTCTTTCTGATTGCTCCAGCTTTACTTTGCTTCATATGACATTCCAATATGAATGCCACATGAAAAATAAAGAAAAATAAAAAGCACAGCTCTTTTAAAAAAATGCAAAATCAAGATATTTGTACATAGATTTATAACATGGATACACAAATACAAAAAATATGAAAAGAGCATAACCATGTATTAACTGGATTTACTTTATCAGTCTTGCTGGTTTGCATGTACACATGTAAATGTTATTAGTAAGTGGCTAGATTTTCACATCTGTTATTCAACCTTCATTTGACAGAGTTCAACAGAAAACTATGAGTTATTTCCTATCCTTTATTTACACCTTTGGACAGTGGCTTGGAAATTAAGGCATACAAGAGAAGAAAGAGATTGCAGGTATGGATTCAAATACCCAGAATGGAAAGCAGTTATATTAAATTGCTTTGGGAAAACAAGACTCCTATTTAAAATGAGTAGGATTGAAGTTTAGTTCCCTAGATCATTATCTAGATGGTACACATAATCTTGGCTTCAGAGAGTTCTAAGATTGTGGGTTATTGTGTTTTCTACTTGTTTCCAATACATCCATAATCAAAATTCCATGTGCGTTCTGATGAGTGTTGAAACCTAGTTCATATATTTGGCCAAGGTTACAAGGTCTTTCATCGATATTTCAGCTTCCAATGTACATCTAACATTAGATACAACACCATATCTGAGGAACGTTGGAAGTTGAATCAAACCATCAACTCATCTCACTTCTATTTTTATGGTTTTAGAAAAGCATAGACTTTGGCAGTAAGCTGTGGTCCATCATTTATATGTATGCTGATCATTTACATATAAACATGATATTACTTATTTTTAACTGTATTCCATTTTTCCCTTGGGAAGATTATATTAATTTGTTGATTCAGCAATATATACATATGTGCCTTTAAATATTTCCTCAAGATAAAGAGGCTTATGATAAGCAAAATACAGAATGATAATTTAGGACATTTATGCATTTGGTCTTTTTACTGAAATTAAATGGGAAATTTTGCACCCAGACTTCATGTTACTAAGCAACTTGTATCATTTGAACACGCTAAGTGAAGAACATGTATTGCAGATAAATTCATTTTGTGTGTGGGGGGGAATCTTGAATTCTCGTTGGGAAAGATAAAATTTCCAACCATTTTTCAAAGTCAGGACTTCCCATTATCTGCTGCTCAAAGAGTACAGGGAGAGAATTGCCTCGTAATGTTTTCCCCTGAAATTTAATAGAAACCCAGGATATCAAGGAGGTCACAGATTGCCAGAGAGATGATTGTACAGGGAAATAGTGGACATTCATTTATACACTTCTTGGCCACTGTATAATAAATAAGAGCAGAAATGTTAAAGTCCGCCCATGAGGATTTAAAAAAAAAACTGTGAAAAAAATTCTGAAGCATCAAAGCAAAGGAGAACTGGTTGAAAACATTCAGGAATGTTGAAAAAAAACACATTTTTTTCACCCACCATTAATTCAAGCAGATTCATGTGAAGTGGAGAGAGACTATGGCTCAGTGGTACAATATATCAACATGTAGAATTTCTAAATCCTGTCCTTGTATCTCAAGAGCCGTGGTGGTGCAGTGGTTTGAATGCAGTATTGCAGGTTAACTTTGCCCACTGCCAACAGTTCGAACCTGACCAACTCAAGGTTGACTCAGCCTTCCATCCTTCTGAGGTCGGTAAAATAAAGACCCATAATGTTGGGGGTAATATGCTGACTCTGTTAACCACTTAGAGAGGTCTGTAAAACACTATACAGTGTTTAAGTGCAGTTTAAGTGCAATTTCTATTGCTATGTCCGAAAGTTCATAAAACAATTTAAGTGATACAAGTGCCTACCTGAGCTACCTTCTATCACAATAAATAATCCTGGATTAGATAGAGAAACTGTATGATCTGGTAACTCATCTTTTTATGCTTCTTTCTGCTATATACAATGAGGTTCTCATTTTCTCAAGACAGTAATTATTCTCTTCTATTATGTACATGACTGATGGCTCTGAAATTAAAACATCATTGGGTTTAACCAATGTATGAGCCCTTTTTAATTATTTTTAATTAATAATTTCTGTTGTATCTAATACAATTGTCTCAGTTTCCTGTTAATCCAGGGAAATCATGTTTCTTCTGTGTATGGAACAAAATCATTCATTTTTAAAACAAAATATGAAAGAACAAGGATGTACCACAGTGTTCTTTGTAATTGGGATAGTTTTCAAGTTAAGTTGTGTATTTATGTATTTGTTTATATTTCAGTGGTTTATATATTCAGTGGTTCCTGCCAACGGTTGCTTTTTCTCTTATTTCAACAATCTTCATTTATGTCCAGAGATTGTGGTGCTTCTCACTAGTGGCATTTTTTTTAAAGTCGCCAAATCCAGACTGCTACTGTGTGGGCTCAGTTGCAAACAGTGGAGGGTTTTTAAAAAGTCAAACCTACAGGCATATTTACTGTTTATTTATCTCTGTTTGAAGAAATGGGGGACATGATTTCCTATCCTTTATAATAAAATGTTTAAAACATGCTAGATGGTTCTATATTTTAACTTGGTTGGGAAATGCATTTTTGTGGCAGCCCTGCTCTTGAAATTCAACATTTTAAAAAGAAAGCTGAAGAATATTTCAAATCCCAGGCAGAGAGGGGATGAAAAGCTGTACTCTAAAAACTTTACAAGGGGGTCTGATGATTCAGCAGTTAAAGATGGTGAGCTTGTCAGTGGAAAGCTGACAGCCTGAGTTCAAGACCCAAGTGCTGTGTGACAGGGTGAGCTCCTGTCCTTGCCCAGCTCCTGACCACCTAGCAGTTAAAAAAAAAAAGCATGTGTATGCGAGCAGATAAACAGTTACCACTTGTGTACGAAGGTAAAAGCATTCTGTGTATACTCATGTTGATCACATGACCATGGAAATGCCTTCAACTAAGAAATGGAGATGAGCATTGCTAGAGCTGGAAACAACCAGACAGGGGAAACCTTTACCTTTTCAAACTTTGCACAAGGGGAAGTGTTTTCTTTCTCAATACTAAAGCTTTTTTCTTTTTCTTCTGATGTTCCAAATGATGATCTCATCCAACCGATTATTATATGATTTGGATTTTTATTTCTTGGTTAATCATGCCTGTTCTTCTGGGTCATTTACAAATGAAACTGAATTACTTTTTTCTTCATCCTTAATTACTTTTCATTCTTTAATCATTCATTCACAAAAATTGGCACCGGCCACTCTCAAATGATTTTAATTCTTTTACCTCGAGCCAGCTATTGTTTCCCATAGCTATTAGGGAGAAAGTATTTTAACCATTGCTTTGAAATAGATTTATCCACATTTTTTTCAAGGAACTGAAATGCAATTAGACTTCTTCAATGAGCACATTGATGCCAGACTAACTTGTTTTACAAAACCAAAACAAAAGCAGAGGCTGATGAAGCAGTGTGGTTTAATTCCTAACAAAAAGTG